TTGAGTCCTTTGTAGTCCACTTCCGGATGTAGGTAGCACGTAGGATCTGGTTACAAAGGGGACAAGCTCTTTTTTAATCTCCCTTAGTAATATTCCTTATGTGTAGATATGAAGATGATCCTAGCAATGACTATTAGGTGTAATTGCACTAATCAATGTATGCTTTGACTTATAATTAAGAATGACTTAGGAATTATTCCTCTAATATTCTACCTGACCATGCTAATGCCATAGAAAGGAGTACTCTGAGTGATTTATCATTATCATTGATCAATACTTATCATATATATATATATATATATCTATCCTATGACTTACCCCTGTTATGAGTAGAATATTGGTTATGGTTTACTTCTCCATCAATAGTATAAGTTATCAATACTTGTCCATGCTAGACCTTCCCTGTGATAAAATATAAATAAACGATACCTAGAATACTCCCGGGTGAAGTGCTACAATGGTATAATTATCTGTGCGCTTACATATTCCTTTCATATATATATATATATTCATATCTATTCCTCCTAGTCACATAAATTAATAAAGAACTATTTAGTATTATTCTAGTAGTAATGCTACGTAGTACCAACAAGCATTTCTATTATCATCACTAGGGATGACAACCTTGTAAGTAATGTTAAGAGATGTAGGTATACATTAGGTGACTACTAAAACAAGTGGCAAGTTAATAAATACTAATAAGCATTTCTGGTGCCGTTACCGGGGAAGGTAGCTAGGCAAAGAAAGTATTGATAAACTTATACTTATTGATGTGATCGAAATAACCATTGACCCCTACTCAAGTAGGATTACCCTTGTTTTGTTTACTTGTGTATCTTATGCAGGGTAATGTATGACCGGTTTTGACCTTCCGACAAACTATGTTGATGATCCTGAAGCACTACTCAAGAGAACTAAGGCTAAACTTAAGAAAGTTTTGGCTTTAGACTCGAAGAAAACCATATAAGGTGAAGCTTAACACCAGAATTTGAAGCCATGGCTGATAGGACTCTTTGTGAATTCTCTGCTCCAACCACCACCAACATCCGTACTGGACCAACAACCAATGTCAGAGATAATGGACTCGAGCTCAAGCCAGCTCTCATCAACATGGTGCAAGCGAGCCAGTTTTGTGAAAGGCACATGAAGATGCTAGTGCTCATCTCCAACACTTCTTGGAGATCTACATCACTTTCACCATCAAGGGAGTAACCAAGGATGCCATACTACTTCGCCTCTTCCCATTCTCACTTTTGGGGAAGGCAAAACAGTGGTTCTACGCCAACAAAGACAGAAACATTACATGGGATAATTGCTCCACTGCCTTCCTAGCAAAGTTATTTCCCATAGGCAAGACCAATGCTCTGCATGGGAGAATTTCAAGTTTTCAGTAGCAACATGATGAATCTGTTCCTAAGGCATAGGAATGCTTTCAAGACTATATATCAGAATGTCCTCATCATGGGATGGAGAATTGGCTAATCATGTAAACTATCTACCATGGGTTGACCAACAGTACCCATGAGACCATGGATGCTGCTATTGGAGGTGCATTCTTGTCAGTTACACTTCTAGCTACGACCACTCTTGTGGAGAAGATGGCCTCCAACCAAGGCTAGAATGAAGAACATGTTCAGACCCGCAAGAGAGGTGGAGGTATGCATCAACTGATGAAGAAGCTCAAAGATCTAGCTATTGAAAAGGAAGAAGTCATGCACATTCATGATTTCCGCATGATGTGTGAAGTATGTGGCAACACTAGGCATTTAGGGAACAATTGTCCTGAAACCTAAGAGGATGTGAACTTTGTCAATAACAAGTACTATCGTCTTAAATAGAATCAAGGATGGAACCAGCAATAGAGGCCAAACTACCAAGGTAACTACCAAGGTAACCCTCAAGGTAATAATTATAATAACTTCAATCAACCACCCTTGAGAGAATTAACTGCTAGCCAATCTAGACTTATGGAAGGATTATCTAGAAAGGTAGCTACCAATGATAAAATTCTAGAGAATATGAATAACAGAATGGATAGCTTTTCTTATGCCATTAAGAACCAACATAGCTTTAATAAAATGATAGAATCACAAATAGCTCAGTTGGCGGCTGCTATTCCTCCATCCGACAAAGGTAAGATTTTGGGGCAGCCAAAAGATCTAGAAACTACAAATCTTATCGATATTCATAATGCAGCTTACTACTACATGGAGCCATCGATGGGAAGGTGGATAGACTATACCTTGCCTGACAAGAAGAGCGATCCGGGAGACCTATCATCCCCATCGCCATTGGACTTCACATCCTTCTAGGAAGCTGTCTGTGACTTCGGAGCAAGTGTCAACATCATGCCAAAGGTAATCTATGATAAAATTAATGGAGATACTTTGTTGTACACAAATATACATTTGTAGCTTGCAGATTAGTCACTTTGCTACCCTAAGGGAGTCCTTGAAGATGCCATTGTTCGAGTGGGACAATCATATGTGCCCATAGACTTTGTGATTTGAGAAACAAGTAGAGATGAAAGGGCACCTATCATCCTTGGCCAACCTTTCCTAAGCACCACGAAGGCCATCATCTACGCGGATAGTGCCAAGATCTATTTCACAATCATGGATAAAAAGGAGTTCTCTTTCAAGAACCACATCTTACAATCTCCTAGTCATCACAAAAAGGCATACCTGCCCTAAGAGACAACAGTGACCAAGAAAAAGAACAACCGAAGGAGGAAGAACAAGACTAGTCAACCACAAGAAGAATCAGTCAACATGATCAACACTCCGATCAGAGTACGACCACCTCCTTCTTCACCATTCCTTGCTAAGAAGGATGATCCAGGCGTACCAATGATTGAGTGTACCATTGGACAAAGAATCTTCCATAAGACCTTCTGCGACATTAGATCAGGTGTCAATATAATGTCCAAGGTAACGTATGAATATTTATTCAGTAACAAACCTTTTGTTCCCTATGTACATGCAATTGCAGAGGGTGGACCAATCAATCCAATTTTTGGAGGGGATAGCAATAGATGTCATGGTAAGAATACATGATCAGTTTGCCCCTACCGATTTCATGGTCCTAGACATGGGAGAAGAAGAAGATGATACACCCATCATCCTTGAAAGACTGTTCCTCAACACCACTAATGCGATCATCTATGTCGGATCTGGACAAGTCCACTTCCAATTCCCTAGAGAAAAGGTACACTGTTATTTTAATAGTTATACTACTTTTGAACAGCCAAAGAAGAGTTGCTCTAGGAGGAGATATCGATTGTCCCGACATCAAAGGAACCAACCACTATGGAATGAATGGGAGGAAGGTGAAGAACCTAAAGCGCCTGTGAAAGATGAACCTACTCTGCTAAGTCAAACCCATAGTCCAACCAGGTATGGAAAGAGAAGGTAACATCATCATCGGAAGTGCAGCAATCAGAGTCTCCACCGCTGAGACCAAATGACGCACCCAAAGAATAATAGACTCTTCTCCAGTAAAGTCCTGTCCGAAGGACTTAAAAATCTAAACCCTCACCATGAGGTAATATCGGTAGTTATCCATATTTACTTTCCTACATTGCATGAATTATTTTCACTTTAGCATATTTACTTCTCTGCATTTGCATTGTGTTAATAAAAGAAAGATAAAAAGTTTCATGACTACATTTCATCATTGCATCATAAAGCCCCATGTGAATGAATCTACGGTGTGTAAAAACCCATGGGAATATTCACTGTGGTGGCATAAAAATTAAAAATACTATGCATACATGTTTTTTGTTATGCATATCATAAAATAGAAAATCTAAAAATACTAGATAGACATCTTGCTAGAATTTTGTCGCTTCAAAAATATTTTTAAACCTCAAGAACAACTAATCTTCAAATGGCGGACCGCTAATCCTTTTATCCTAATCCGTTCCACGAGTTTTGGTATTTTTGTTAGTATTTTGCAGGATGACACATGATCAAGAGTAAGTTCACCCGATTGTCTTCATCTCGCTCCATTCATTGATGAGGAGGACATCCGCTGGCAAACATGCTCTAAGAAGGATCACTTAACTTTCAACATTCGACCACGACAACATCCAGCTTGGGGTAGGAGCATCCCCATGTATCTAGCTAAGTATTTCTTCCCTTTTGTTATCCTTAAATTTGCTCTACATTTGTTAAAAAATTCATAATTAAAAGCAAAATAAAAATTTATCTTTGTCTTACATATATATATTAG